TTAATTTTAAGGAAAAAATATCCAGTCTTTTTGTATGACAAGTACTATGATTTCGATGTTTCTATCTTTTGATTTCTGCCTTGAAAAAAATTTTTTCTAGGCTAAGGAAAAACAGTTTTGAAAGTCAGAGCATCACCAAACCAAGAACAGCGATTGCACTAGATATCATTATTCTTGGTACTCAATATTCAAATATCACATTCAATACTTTTCAAAATGAGGGGTGGTTGGAGTTAAGTATTTTGTTATTGATAAAAATTTTGGTTCAAGCACTAAAGTTGCTAATGGAAATTTCCTTTTTGACAATAGTATGGGTAGGTTTCAGGGTATATAAGGTAAATTCTATATGTAAATGTTTATTTTACATATATTTTTTCACTTTTTTATGGTTATTGTCATTTCATAAGTGCTGGGAGAAGTCTCTTCTCCATATATTCTTAATTTCTTCTTATTAGTTAGCATTTCATGAACACAAAGTACTATTATGGTAATTTTTATAAATATATATATTTACAATTATAAAAGTAATATATGCTTTATTTAAAAGTTTTGGAAATTCAGAAAATTATAAAAGAAATCAAAGTTACTGATAAGTCTATATCTTACAGAAATATTTTTAACGTTTTGGTATATATGTTTCCATAACGTCACATATTTCCAAGTAATTATGTATATGAAACACACATATAGGCATGTAGTTTCATTTGGTAATTACTGTATAGAAAACTTAATATATAAAACTTTTTACCTTCTACTTCTGGTTATAAATGAGGTAGCTTATATCGCACAAATCCTCCTATTATGAACTACCAGAAAAATTGAAGAAGAAGAAAAAAGCAACTTAAAACATCTGTTTGAAGGCATTGGGGAGCAGCCAAGAAAGCCAGGATTTAGAAGACCACATCGAAGTACAGAGGAAAGCATAAAGGCCTAACAGGCATGTACTTGGTGTCCCAGCAGGAGGGATGAGAGAGTGGGCTGAGGGCTTTCCAGAATTGAAACACACACGCACACGCACATGAACATGCACACACACACACACACACACACACACACACCCCTAGATCACAGATTTAAGAAACTCTATAAACCAAAACCTGGATAAATGGAAAGAAAATCACTCCCCCATCATAGTGTAGCTTCTGAAAGACCAAATCAAAGATATACTTTAATAACAGTGATAGAAAACAGAAAAATTACCTTTCAAAGAGCTATAGTGACATAAAAAAACACTTTTAAAAATAAAAATAATGGAAGAAAAAGATCATGGAATTTCAGTGTTGAAAGAAAACAACTGCAAACCTGAAATTTAATATCCAGTGAAACATTTCTTTAAAAAAAGTTGGGGAAAATAAAGAGATTTCAAAACAATAACAATAGCAGTAAAAGTTTATCAACAGCAGAATGCACTTAAAATATTAAGTGAATTTGTTAGGTAGAAGAAAAGTGATACCAGATGGAACAACAGTAATGCAGGAAGGAACAGGGAACACTGGAAGCACAAATGTGTGGGTAAATATAAAGGCATATTGCCCATTTGAAAGTAATAATAATGTTTTATAGAGTTTTGAACATATGCAGATTTAGAATATATGTTAACAGTTGCACATAAGGAAGAGGGCAGTAAATAGAGATCAGTGTTAAAAAGTTTTTGCATTGTCTGGGAGACTGTAAAAACAATAATTTAAAGTAGATATTAGTAAGTTAAGGATACATATAATCTCTAGTATATGCCCAGAAGAATGATTAAAGCTTGTAGAAATAATAAGTTAATGGAGTGGGAGAAAGTAAACAATAAAAAAATTAATTAATTCAAAATAATGTAAGAAACGAAAACAGAATGGAAATGAGATAGGAAAAATAGAGGACAAAGCATATAGCAGGTGTATATCCTTGTCTTAGTCTGGTCAAGCTGTTATAATGAAATACTATACACCAGGTGGCTTCTAAACAACAGAAATTTATTTCTCACAGTTCTGGAGGTTGGGAAGTCCAAGAACAAGGTTCTGGCAAATTTGAAGTCCAATGACCATCTTTTTTGCTATAACTCACAAAGCAGTAAGGATGAGGGATTTCCTTGGAGCCTCTTTTATATGGGCACGAATCTCATTCATTAGGGCTCTGCCCTCATGACCTAATAATCACCTCCCAAGGGTCACCTCCTAATACTATCACATTGAAGATTAGGTTTCAATATGTGAATTTTGGGGAGACACGTATATTCAAACCATAACATTCCCCTTTTGGCTCCTCCCAAATTCATGTTCTTCTCATATCCGAAATACATTCATTCCATCCCAATAGTCCCCCAAATCTTAATTTGCTCCAGCATCAACTCAAAAGTTTAAAGTTCAAAGTCTCATTTAAAAATCAGATACTAGTGAGACTCACAGAACAATTCATTCTGAGGCAAACTGCTGTTCAGATGGGAACCTGTGAGATTGAACATGTTGTGTGCTTCCAAAATACAACAGTGGGACCAGGCATAGGACAGACATTCCCATTCCAAAGGGAGAAAGAGGAAAGAAGAAATTCATAGCAGGTGCTTCCCAAGTCCAAAATCCAATAGAGCAAACATTAAGTCTTTTTTGGGGGGATGGGGAGTGGGGACAGAGTTTTGCTCTTGTTGCCCAAGCTGGAGTACAATGGTGCAATCTCCGCTCACTGCAACCTCTGTCTCCCAGGTTCAAGTGATTCTCCTGCCTCAGTCTCCCCAGTAGCTGGGATCACAGGTGTGTGCCACCACACCCAGCTAATTTTTGTATTTTTTTCAGTGGAGACAGGGTTTGACCATGTTGGCCAGGCTGGTCTCCAACTCCTGACCTCAAGTGATCTACCCACCTCGGTCTCCCAAAATATTGGGATTGCAGGCGTGAGCCACCGTGCCCAGCCAACATTAAATCTTAAGTCTTAAAAACAATCTTCTTTGGTTCCATGTCTCACTTCCAGACATACTGAATGGTGAACCTGTCTCCACAGCTTTGGGCAGCCCTGCTCCCAGGGCAGCTTGGTGCCTGGCTTGCATCCTGGCTCTCTGGGGCTAGAATTACACACTGGCTGCTCTACTGCTCTGGGTCAAGGAAGCAGATCTGCCCCAGCTCTGCTGGGCATTGGGCTTCACAGGGACTCTCTGTGGTGCTCCACACCCTCGGAGGCTTTTGCACTCTGCGCCTTTATGAGGGCACTAATTCCATTAATGAGGGCTCTGTTCTTAGAACCTAGTCACCTCCCAAAGGCCCATACCCAAATACTATCAATTGAGGATTAGCTTTCAATATGTGATTTTTGGGGAGACAAAAACATTAAGACCATAACAACCCTAATACTATCTTTAACTACATTTAATATGCTATGAACTCAATGCTTCAATTCAAAGACATTGTCGGACTGGATTAAAACAAATGTTCTAATGCTTACATGGGATCCACATTAAATACAAAGACACAGAAAAGTTTAAAGTAAAAATATTTTTTTAAAAAAGCTATTCCATGATAATATTAATGGAAAAACAGTTAATGAAATCAAACAAAAGTGGCCACATACAGCAAGAAGTAGGAACCTAGTTAAAGATGTTAAAATGACACAAGGTAATACATACCTATAATATTATAATTATATGTGATACATTCTGTATTATAATGTTAAATGTATAATCATTTGATAAAATAAAATAACATGATGATAAAATCATTATAATCAGACTATCAAGATGAAAGGGTAAATTCCACAGGAAAATATAGTGGTCTTAAACTCATGTACCCTTAATAAAACAGCATCAAATTATGTAGTGAAAATTGGCCAGTCATGGTGGCTCGCGCCTGTAATCCCAGCACTTTGAGAGGCCAAGGCGGGTGGATCACTTGAGGTCAGAAGTTCAAGACCAGGCTGGCCAACATGGTGAAACCCTATCTCTACAAAAAATACATTAAAAAAAAAAAAAAAGTAAAAGAAAATTAGCTGAGCTTGGTGGTGTGCCCCTGTAGTCCCAGCTACTCGGGAGGCTGACGCAGGAGAATCACTTGAACCTGGGAGGCGCAGGCTCCCACCACCACACTTCAGCTTGGGCGACAGCGTGAGTGAGACTCTATCTCAAAAAAAAAAAAAAAAAAAAAAAAAATTATGTAGTACAAATTGACAGCATATAATGAAAGCATAAGTAGAGAAATTCACACTCATTAATTGAAATTTTCCCCCATCCCTTCAGTAACTAATGCGACAGTTAGATAAAAATATTAACAGAAGCCAGGCACGTGGCTCACACATGTAATCCCAGCACTTTGGGAGGCTGAGGCTGGTGGTTCACTTGAGCTCAGGAACTCAAGACCTGCCTGGGCAACATGGTGAGACCCCATCTCTATGAAAAATACAAAAAATTAGCCTAGAGTGGTGGTGCGCGCCTGTAGTCCCAGTTAGTAGGGGGGCTGAGAGGGGATGATTATTTGTGCCCAGGAGGTTGAGGCTGCAGTGAGCTGCAATTGCGCCACTGTACTCCAGCCTGAGTGACAAAGCAAGACCCAGTCAAAAAAAAAAAAAAAAAAAAAAAAATCAATAGAGAAATTTGAACAACATAGTAAGTTTGACTAGTTGACAAATTTAGAGTTTTGCACCGAACAAATGCAGAACAATTTTTCAAGTACACATGAAATAATTAGAAAATAACTATACACTGGGGAGTAAGTTTCAAAAAATATCTATGAATTGAAGTCATATTGAGCATGTTCTCAGTTTACAGTGTAATTAAACAGGAAATCAACAACAAAAAGGGTAGAAAATCTCCAAATGATTGAAGATGATCAATTATATACATACATGTGTATATATACACACAAACATGCACACATGTGTATACACACGTGTATATACACACATATATACACATGTGTATATGTGTATACAAACATGCACACATGTGTATACACATATGTGTATATATACACACAAACATATATACAAGTGTGTATATGTGCATACACATGTGTGTATATATGTGTGTGTATATAGTTGATCATCTTCAACCGTTTGGAGATTTTCTATTATACATATTTTTTCTTTAACTTTATATGGTGTTTTATCATATAGTGTTTCTTATGGACATAGCTTAAGAATCGTCTGTTATTTTTTTCACAGAAAGCATGAAACTGCAGGGGAGCTGATTTGTATGGATCCTGGTAAAAAGATAATTGAGTAGGTAAATTCCAGGGAGCTTTTGTACAGTGGATCCCCCTGTCAGTGGCTTTGGAGTCCCTAGTTTCAGTTACTCGTGGTCAACTGTGGTCTAAAAATATTAAACTGAAAATTCCAGGAATAAACAGTTCCTAAGTTTTCAATTGTGTGGGGTTCTGATTGGCATGATGAGATCCAGCCATCTTACTCCTTCCCACAGAGGGTGAGTCCTCCCTTTGCCCAGCGTTTCCCTGCTGTCTACACTATCCACCTGTTAGTCACTTCACAGTCTGGGTTATTAGATGACTGTGGCAACGACCAGTGCGGTATGTTCAAGTCGCCCTGATTTTACTGACTTTTTGCCCTTTTTTCTCTCTGGCTCCAAAGTGCAAGATAAGTGATGCTGACAATTTAGATATGCCAAAGAGAAGCTGCAAATGCCTCCTTTAAATTAAAAGGTAAAACTTCTGGACTTAATAAGAAAAAAAAAAATCATATGCAGAGGTTGCCAAGATCTACTAAAAACAAATCTTCTATCCATGAAAATGTGAAGAAGAAAAAAGAAATGCATGCTAGTTTTGCTGTTGCCTCGTTTTTGGATGGAAGAACAGAAACATGTCCCACTGATGGCAATGGGTACTATCCATGGTTTCAGGCATCCACTGGGGCTCTTGGAACCTATCCCCCACAGGTATGGGGGGGTTACTGTATTTCTGGCCATACAGTCTTCTACTGGCGACTTTAGGTTTCTCGGGATCTTAGGCCCCTTTCTCTAAGATGCATCCTAGAGGACCAGAAATGCACTTTATTTGGGCTTTGCCTGCTTTTGTGGAAGGGAAGTTTACTAGACGATATAATCTCGTGTTTTAATTTGCTGTCTCTCCTAAAGGGAATGTGGAGGGGAAAAAAAAAAAAAGCAGAAATTGGAAATAGCCAATATTTATTTAATTTCATTCGATTCTCAGGGGAACTGGTGAGGAACCTAAGATGGTTTCCGCTTCCTAAAGGAAGAATCCAAGGTCCAGGGAAATAGCAACAGAGGAGTTCAAGACTGCCCCTGCTAGTCCTTCCTTGGCTACTCTCCGCTGTGATCGCAGGATAGCTTTCATTTGCAGGAGAATCGGGCATGTGTGTGGATGAGTAGAGAGCGTGTTGAACAACTTGCAACATTTTATGAAATATGCATTGTCATGGTTCCTTAAAAGGCTTTGCGGAAGCCGTTTGTCTTTACTAATCAAGTCTTCACTTACACAAAAGTAGAAGTAGAAGTAGTTTTAGAAAACATACTAGCAATCTTCTATTCCCTTGAAGACCAGAGTAGCAGAAAACAGGTGATTTGCATTATAAAATTGCACTTACAGATTTCACATTACATTAGCCCATTTGTGTTACGGTGTTTAAAAAATGCAACAGGAGCCCCCACTGCATTGTTCTCCTTTAAAAATAGATCACGTACACCGTAACTTTGTTTTTCTTAAATTCGATTCTTAACAGGAGAACTTTCTATTACTTCAGATGGAGTGAGGTTGCACTACTAGGATGGAAGAAAGGAATCCCTTAACTTTGGGGGAATTTCTGTTCTCTGTTAGTTCCAAGACCATTTTACTGGGGGTGGGGGATGGGCGTGGCGGTCGGGGCAGTGGAACGCAGTCGCGGCTGCGCCATCCCTGCACTTCCAGGCGCGCGGGAGGGACCGGCGGGGACGCGAGCTGCGGACTCTGGCGAACGCGGGGAGGCAGACACCGGGAGCGGACAACCAGCCGGCAGGCGTTTCAGCCTCCCAGCAGCCGGTGGGCTCCTCTCCTGACAGCTCCAGGAAAGGCAGACCCCTTCCCCAGCCAGCCAGGTAAGGTAAAGACTGCTGTTGAGCTTACTGTTACTGAGGGCACACAGACCCTAGGGAGACCGAAACTTGCCACTGCGGGATTCGGTGTGGTGACCTGGGTCTACTGAAGTTTCCTAAAAGGGGGGAGAAGGGTTTGTATTTTTCCTACAAAGGGGAGGATTCTTCTCTCTCTAGCACTTCGTTTAATGTATTCAACTGGTAGAAGTGAGATTTCAACAGGTAGCAGAAGCGCTCACGTGGAAGAGGTTTAGGGCACGGCGGCGCCCCCCTCCACACACACACACACCCCCCTCGGGACCGCGCCTTTTTCTAAAGTTACTCGTCGACGAACTAACCTATGCTTTAAACTCCTCTTTCCAGCCCCGTGAGTCCGCGGCGACAGTGGACCGTGGGGTGGCTGGGAACGGCACCCTCCTCCAGAAAAACCAGAGACCGGCTTGGAGAGCTGAAGCGAGCGTCGGCGAGCAGGTCCGTGCAGACCCGGGCTTCGGGACCGCTGAGCTCCGTGGGGCGGCCGTGGGGGACGCCGGGTCGCCGGCTCCTCTGCCCTTGTTGAGATGGACAACGCCTCGTTCTCGGAGCCCTGGCCCGCCAACGCATCGTGCCCGGGCCGGGCGCTGAGCTGCTCCAACGCGTCGACTCTGGCGCCGCTGCCGGCACCGCTGGCGGTGGCTGTGCCGGTTGTCTACGCGGTGATCTGCGCCGTGGGTCTGGCGGGCAACTCCGCCGTGCTGTACGTGTTGCTGCGGGCGCCCCGCATGAAGACCGTCACCAACCTGTTCATCCTCAACCTGGCCATCGCCGATGAGCTCTTCACGCTGGTGCTGCCCATCAACATCGCCGACTTCCTGCTGCGGCAGTGGCCCTTCGGGGAGCTCATGTGCAAACTCATCGTGGCTATCGACCAGTACAACACCTTCTCCAGCCTCTACTTCCTCACTGTCATGAGCGCCGACCGCTACCTGGTGGTGTTGGCCACTGCCAAGTCGCGCCGGGTGGCCGGCCGCACCTACAGCGCCGCGCGCGCGGTGAGCCTGGCCGTGTGGGGGCTCGTCACACTCGTCGTGCTGCCCTTCGCAGTCTTCGCCCGGCTTGACGACGAACAGGGCAGGCGCCAGTGCGTGCTGGTCTTCCCGCAGCCCGAGGCCTTCTGGTGGCGCGCGAGCCGCCTCTACACGCTCGTGCTGGGCTTCGCCATCCCGGTGTCCACCATCTGTGTCCTCTATACCACCCTGCTGTGCCGGCTGCATGCCATGCGGCTGGACAGCCACGCCAAGGCCCTGCAGCGCGCCAAGAAGCGGGTGACGTTCCTGGTGGTGGCGATCCTGGCCGTGTGCCTCCTCTGCTGGACGCCCTACCACCTGAGCACCGTGGTGGCGCTCACCACCGACCTCCCGCAGACGCCGCTCGTCATCGCTATCTCCTACTTCATCACCAGCCTGAGCTACGCCAACAGCTGCCTCAACCCGTTCCTCTACGCCTTCCTGGACGACAGCTTCCGCAGGAACCTCCGCCAACTGATAACTTGCCGCGCGGCCGCCTGACTCCCCCATCGCCCGGCTACGCAAATGCCCCGCCACCCCTGGCCCGCGCAGGAGGAGCCGCCGCCGGAGTGCGGGACCCGACAGGCCTCCTAGGCCTCCGGGGGAAACTGACTCGCCCCCCAACCCCCTACTTAGCAGACCGGAAGCGCTGCGGCTGCGCCCGCAGGTTGACCTTGCCCTCCAGGTGATGCGCGTCCACGCCGGGTGAGCAGCACTGCGGCTGAGATCGCCACGCCGAGCGCTACCTCACACAGAGGTAGAGGTAGAGGAGGACAGAGGAGGAGGCGGGTATTGCTGGGAACCGCCCCCTCCCTGCCCTGCTCCCTGCTCCCCAACCCCGAGCCCTGGTCGTCTGGAACCCGGCTGGAGTAGGAGCTCTCTGCGCCTTCGAAGGGAGGCCCGAGGACGCTGCGGGCGCCCCTAGGCGTCGGCTCCGCGTGGCCCCTGCTGTAGCTGGCGCACAGCCCGGGCGGGTCACCTTGTCCTCCGCGCGTTCTGGGAAGAGGGTTGGGCGCGAGCGTTTGGCGCCCACCCTGTGAGACGCACTTGGCCTGGCGCCGCGCGCAGGGACCGCTGCCGAGGCCGCCAGCGTCTCTTCAACTCGGGAAAACACACCAACTCGGGGTGCCCCATCGGGGTGCGTGTACACCCCTGTGTGGTGTGGTGTGCGCGCGTTTGCGGAGGCATGAGATTCGGGGAAGGAGGGTGGCGCTTGGCTGTGACTGCCTAGAATATGATACGAATAGTGATCCTTCTTCCTGTGTGCCCCAACTCCTTCTTTTCTTTGTCTTTTCTCTTTCCTATCCGTAATCTCCCCTGAAAATGTCTCAGACTTCCTGAGCAAGGAACCTGGAGTAGCCCGGGCGCGCGGTTCCGGCGCCCCCTGTAGGAGCCAGCGGCCGGGCGCTTAGCGTCCGAGGACCGCGGGGCTTTGTGGTGGAGCGCTCGGGCTGAGCGCGCTTCACAGCACTGCGGCGCACTGGTCATCGCTGCTTCTAGAGGACGCCAAGTCCCACGCCCCATTCCCCCAATTGGCCTCGTCTCTTGTCTGACTTAGACCAGTTTGTTGTAACTGTTCATGTGTGTACTGTTTTTCAGGACTGAAAACTTTATAAATAAAGTACATGTCTTAATCTCACGAGTTGCCATGAAGATCAAATAAGATAAAAAGAAATGCTATCTATTCTCTTGTGTTCCCGTTCTCCTCTGTGCTTCCTGGGCCCCGCCTTAGGGACAGCAGGAAGCAGAGATGACCGATGGCTTCAGGTTTTTTTCTGCTGGACTTTTCACAGGGAGCTGTGGATTCCTTAGTTGTAGACAGCATCTGGCAGGTAGTCCCGGTAAACCGGGTAAATACTGGTTCTGGAGGCACCAGGGATACTGGCCAGCATCCTACCTGTGTTTTTATCTCTGCATATGGAAGACAAAGTGGATTAAGAGAGAGGACTGGCACTGGGTTTGCCCAATCCTCTGCAGTTTAGCCTTAGACATGAGGGCCGAACCCTAGAACCCTAACCAAACTCTGGTCATTGATTATGGTGTTTTAAAAGGTATTAATCTTTGGGATGAAGTCCAAACAGGATGAAAATTTCTACAAATGTTTGTTTCCTATGTCATATGTGAGACAAAATGTGAGTGTTGCAGCAGATTTTGTTTGCTTAGTTTGGCATCTTCAATCAATTTCTCAATTATTTAGGTTGAAAATAGCTTTTAATAAATATTTGGAAGGGAAAAAACGCCCCCTTGGAATGGGGGGAAGCAAACCCCCTCTCTGATTTTGGTGAATGAGAATTTCTTTCTTAGCTCTCAGAGTTTTTAGGAACCTTGAAATAATTCATAGCCATCAGTTTAGAAAATATACATTAAAAAACCTTCTGTCTTGAGTGGCAAATAATAGTAAATTGTTTAAAAGAAAGTTTTCATCTGCAATGAGTTTCAAATGGTGGACCTCAGGCCTCTCTCTCCGGGCCGGCTTCAGAGGCTTCTTGGAATTCATTTTAGTATCTTTTGAATTTCCAGGAATCATCCTATTGATTTTCCTTAAAACTCTCAAAATTATATCATAAATCCTCCGTAACTTTTCAAAATTAAAGTTTTAAACTTAGAGTAACTTCTAGATTTACCTAAGGTGATGGACAAAGAGTAAGGTGAACATTTGGCTACAAACACAGCCGGGGTGATTGTCTGGATTCAATTCTCATCAGTCTTAATAAGCTCAGTAACTGGACTCAGATGGGGGACAGCTGAGTGATCCATCTGTCCACTGTTTCATCCCTACAGTAGAGTGACCTCGAGCCTTCTTGGAATCTATGGAGATGACTGCTGGAAAAATACACGGGCTGACATTGCTATTCATCCCCAGCAAGGGATGGATTGGCTTCTGAGTGTGCCTGTGGGATTAATTAGGACTCGGTAGTTCAGTTCCTCCTGGGCTTTCTGATCACTGGATAAACTGTTGTATCATTATTTCTAGGTCGTTGCCCTTCATATGAGCATGTAGACTGTACATCTCAGGCTTCCTTTTTATGTCTTGGGTAATCGGTTGAATAAATACACACACAAGCCAGACAAAAGTAGAATTTATTCACATCATTGTATTGCAAAGGTTTTAACACTGTGTTGAATTCTTGCAGTTTCTGTGTAAACTCTATGGTTTGGTTTTACCACTCTGAATAGTTAAAAATGTCTATTTGCTTTTACTTCATTTAGTACAGTTACGTAATGTATATGCTTATGTTTTCTCTTGATAAACGCAGAAACTCTATAGTACATTGTAGAGGAACTCAGTTTAAAATAAAAGCTGAAATATTCTGTGTAATAAGTGAACATTCTATTTTCTGAGAACATGTTATTCACAATTCAGTCACCTTAGCATTTGTGCAGTATTATTATTTAAAAATATTGCCTTCATTGGAAAAGTGATCTAATGAATACTCAATGAATAAATGGAATTATTTGGCAGGACAAAATTAAGAATGAACACCCCCACCCCACCTTTTCATTTGGTTGATTGTGAAAATGATGCAAAGCTGCTGATAAACGCAGAGATTCCAGAACTTACGCTGGGCAGAGAAAGGATGCCAAGCTTTTACCATACCATCAAAAGCCTCATTTCTTAAATATTTGAGCAGCTATGTGGAGGGGGAGAAGGGAAGATAAATTGCTTGAATTATTAGCGTACACATCGCTATCAGCAATATGCACAGACATAGCACAAATATGCAAGGTGGAGAATCTCACCTGAAAAACCCACAAACTTATTATAAACCCTTCTTTCCTCAGCAACATGCTGGGAAAACAACAGCAAGACAATAAAACAATAACCCACCTTGGATATTAATAATGTACGCTTATGCACATTAAGAAAGAGATCAGAGAATTCTGCCCATAACAGTCTTTTATTAGCACAGCTTTGGGTCTGGCTCTTGGGTCCCCGTTTTACATACAAAGAAAGTGAGACACAAGGAAGTAGATCCATTTAGCCATGCCCACAGAGATCAATGAAGACCAATCAGAGTCATCCAGTTCCCATTCTGTTCTAGGAATTGCGTCATCTTTTTTCAGCAGAGATGGAATTCGTTGCAATGTGTAATTTGGAAATATTAGACTAGAAAATGATATCTTTTAAATATTTAGTAGATTAAGCAAAGTGTATCTACCATTAGCTCATATGAGATAAAGGGAGGGTAAGATTTAATATTATAAAACTCCAGTCTTAATTCAGAGACTTACAAAGTGTATGGGGTTGTTGAAAGTTATATGAGAACAAAAATTCTTAACAGAACTGTCACACAAAGGCACCATGTGCTAGCAGCCCCCATGCTTTACGTACGTGGAACTGTGCTCCAGAGGGACTGTTCCTGTAGGATACAATGCTAATGATGGCTCTATCTCCATAGAATGGAGCTTTGCAATGGATGATGCTGTCCTTGAAATTAGGGCAAGGGAAATTTATTTGTTTGTACCATATCTCATAAGGTTACATTGGTGACATCACATTAAATAAAAATAAAAGATGGAAAAAGGGAAGGAAATTTAAAATGATATTGTTCAGAAACTGTCAGAATGCATGAACTGCGTACTTCCCACAGTCCAGAAGATTTCTCTTGTGCCTGGGAGGCAATAGTGCGCACAGACCTGATGCCCTGTTGGGCCAAGACCCAGGGAGCGGCTCAGCATTTTCCTGTAAAATCTGGATCTTCTTACAAAGATTGTTCTACCAGAAGGTTAACTCACCCCCATTCTGAGCTAACCCAAGGACCAGAGTCACAACTGCAATAACCAGGCCACCGTTCACCACGGAAAGAGTGGGTGTGTGCGTAGTCAACAATGTGGAAGAAATTGCGAGTGTTCCCAAAGGCGAGGGGCAAATCATTTGTGAATGCTAAATAGTAACAACAAAACGGATATCTTAAATGATTCATCCATTTGGCAAAGCAGCTTCTTCCTTTAGGCAGTGATGAATGGTCTGGTAGAGGAGGAAAACGCAGCCCTATTCAGTCACTGTGGTATGAATGCAGCAATCAAACCTGAAAAGATGTAAATATTTACACCTGCAAAAGTACCAAGTGAATTATCCACATTCTCCTACATAATACTGTTTTGATTCCTTTAACTCCTCTCTTCCAATAAAAATACCACTCCTCATTGCTACATTTCTATTTATTCTCTTTACAGCGGAATTTCAGGAGTCTTAGTTAAAAGGGAGTTACATAATTCCTTAAGAAAACCTTCATCTTGGATTTATCAGGACAATTTATTATTATGGTGAAAGATTATACTAAACCTTTAAATGCATTTATTTAAAATCAAAATGTATTTTAAATGTACAGAATATGTTAACTAATGAGGTTTCTTGTGACTTATACTTCCAGTTGAAAGGAAGAATGCATCCATATAACTTTTCTATTGAATCTTTCAAATGATAATGAAAACAATAATCCACATAATTTTTTGAACTTTCATTTAATAATGTTGAGCTCAATTTGTGTTTAAATTTTGTGTTTGAAATTATTTTATTTATTTAAACAATGAGATCTCACTATGTTGCCCAGGCTGGAGATGAACTCTTAGGCTGAAGGGATCCTCCCGCCTCAGCCTTCTAAGTAATTAAGACTACTGGTAAGTGCCACCTCGCCTAGCTTGAGATAGTTTAATTTTTATCAAAGTAATACATTAATTTTAAATTACATTTAAAAACATCCAAACGTAAAACATTTCAATAGCTTTAGGAGTACACATGGTTTTTGGTTACATGGATGAATTGTATAGTGGTGAAGTCTGAGATTTTAGTGCACCCATCACGCGAGTAGTGTACATCGTACCCATTTTTCCACTCTGTATGCCTTTCGTACCTATAGCTTAGCTCCCACTCACAGGTGAGGACGTACTGTATTTGGTTTTTCATTCCTAGTTACTTCACTTACAATAATGTCCTCCAGCTCCATCCAAGTTGCTGCAGAAGACATTATTTCATTCTTTTTAGGGGTTGAGTAGTATTCCATGGTGTATATATGCCACATTTTCTTTATCCACTCATCTGTTGGTGGTCACTTAAGTTGGTTCCATATCTTTGTTACTGTGAATTGTGCTGTCATAAACCTACAAGAACAGGTATCTTTTTGATATAATGATTTCTTTTCCTTTGGGTAGGTCTCCAGCAGTGGGATTGCTGGATTGAATGGTAGATTTACTTTGAGTTCTTTGAGAAAACTCCATACTGTTTCCCACAGAGGTTGTACTGATTCCCATTCCCACCAACAGTGTGTAAGCATTCACTTCTCACCACATCCATGCCGACATCTATTGTTTTATGACTTTTTAATAATGGCCATTCTGGCTGGGGTAAGGTGGTATCTCATATGGTTTTATTTGCATTTCCCTGATGATTACAGTGATGTTGATGTTGAGCATTTTTTCATGTTCGTTGGACATTTTTTTTCTTTTTTTTTTGAGACAGTCTCGCTGTGCTGCTCAGGCTGGAGTGCAGAGGCATGATCTCAACTCACTGCAACCTCCACCTCCTGGGTTCGAGCGATTCTCTTGCCTCCACCTCCTCAGTAGCTGGGATTACAGGTGCCTGCTGTAATGCGCAGCTAATTTTTGTATTTTCGGTAGAGCTAGGTTTCACAATGTTGGCCAGGCTGGTCTCGAACTGCTTACTGCCAGTGATCCCCCTGCCTTCACCTCCAAACTGCTGGGACTTCAGGCATGAGCCACCCCTCCTGGACTTTGTTGGCCATTTCTACGTCTTCTTTTGGGAAATGCCTATTCATGTCATTTGCCCATTTTTAATGGGATTATTTGTATTTTTCTTGCTGATTTTAAACTTCTGCAACTTTTGATTGTCACAGAAGATTTATTATAAGCATCAAGTTTCCACCCAGTCCCAACTGGCCATAGTCCCTCCCAGCCACATGAACTATTGATTCTGGGATTTACCTCCTTGTTACTGACTTACAGATTTATACCTCAATGTTTTACTTGCTTAATTTTGGACATTATGATAGTGAAGATTTTGGAGGCGGGGTTGTTGGCACTTTTGAAAGCCAGTTGTGTTCAGGGGATCCCTCCACTTATTCTGTTTTCAGACTTTTACTTTGTCTCCCTAGTTTTTGTTCCTGTACTTGGTTCCTGTCTTTTTGCAGCACCTGGTTACCTGCAACGCATCTCTGGAACCAATTTCTCCAGACTGTGAAACTCCAGTCTCCAGCAGAGATGGGGAGTAGGTGTCCCCGGGCTGCAGTGGCCAGGCTGGGGAGCCTAACCATTCTTCACACAGCTTTCCTTCAGCCTCCCTATTTGTGGCCCTGCAGCTCACTCCCAACTTCCACGGGCACGGTGGTCTCTCTGAGTGGCTTTAGAAGCAAATCAGATTGGATAAAAGGGACACTGCTGTAGACATTTCTGCATTTTGTTGCTTACCAACGCTCCTTCTGCTGACCAACCTCTCGAAATCCATTGATATCTCTCACCCTTGTCATTGCTTATCTAGCTCTTTGTCCATTTAAGAAATTTCTTTCCTGTTCTTATAGTAGGGCTTTCATAGAATATAACAGTAAATAAATACTGTGTAAATGCCATCATCTTAAACTGAAGTGTGTGTGTGTGTGTGTGTGTGTGTGTGTGTGTGTAACAGGTTCGATGACATTTTAGAGAACTTTCTTTCTGGCTTAGAAGAACTCGGTAAGAAATGAGTTACTTGGAAGAAGCTTAGTTTACAAATGTCAAGAAATGTCTTGGAATGAAATGATAAATTCAAGCAATCTAAAATATTAGGTTTCCCTGACAACCAGCATCCTGCTATTTGGAGATACCCACGTGTATCTGTCAAGAAAGCGTAGCCCACTCGCCACAGAACCTCTGTGTAGCTCAGCATCACCCTCAGGCCAGGCCCAGCACACACAGCAGCAGTCATCATCCACATAGGCCAGGCTGCCTTTGAGGCCCGTTAATTAGATCAGCTTCTCCAGGTGGTATCAGGGCATCAGCCTTTCCAAAGCTCCCAGTCCGGACCCGAGAATGAGACGTGGAACAAAGCCATTCAGACGACATGCAGCTCTGAGAATGTGAGAATCAACGCTTGCTACTGCATGCCTCTGAGTTATGTGGCACTATTGTGGTAAAAGCTGAGACACTGATGTGATTTTATTTTCTCACCCATCAGTAATTATCAGTGATTCTGGGCTTGCTTTTAACTGCTCTCTTTCAGAAGCTTGCACGTTTTTAGAATCTAAAATATCAAAATATTGATTGTTTAGGCTTTCCAGGGCACATGCTTCTCTTGATTATAGTGCTTTATTTTTTAAAAAATCATAC